GCTTGTCGGGACTTCTCGTTTTGACACGCGGGTTTGTCGGGGTGTGAGCAAAAACGACGCAACCGGCAAAGACCGCTTTGTGCATCAGCGTGGTTTTGGGAGCTGATTGCTGGGGGTCCGTGGGTGAATCTCCTTCATAAACATAAAAAGATTTAAAATGTCTTTTGGAAATTTACCTTTCAGCATGTCTTCATACGAACGTGGGCAAGGCGCTGTGCAGGATGAGTAACTGAAACTGGCACCCGTGCGTAACTGAAGTCGTGTGTGCAAATATATATAAAAACAATTATGGCAATGTTTTCTGTAGCCTCAGCTGCATTTTCCATCTTCACGTAAATCGGTTCCAATGAAGGTGAGAGCTCCTAGGAGCCGTCTGTCACAGAGCGCTGTGTCTCGAGTGGAAGCACACCTGTGTACACAGCGATCCGAACGCCAGGTCAGCGAGAGCTTGTTCTTGCCCAATGGCGTTAAAATGCGGCCTGCGGTTTTCAGAGTTGCATTTTGATCAGTTCTAAGCTTTGTTGGTACCAATGTCGAAGGAATTACAGATTGTAATCATAAGTCTTAAGCTCTCTCACTATAGCTTCTGCCTCTCCTTCGATTAACTGCGCCTTGAGGAGAGTACAGAAGCCGGGCGTGCAGGGAGTAACGGCAACTCATTCACAAATTGTCAGCGGAACATCCAGATCCTCGAAGCCCAGTCTGCCTGCGCACATCGTGAGGGCGATGCAGAGCGGCTCAGCGGGATCGGCTGTGGAAGTTGCTGACGTCCCTGTCCCGGCGGATGGCGAGAGATCCTCGAGCGGCTCAAGCCGATGGATTTGTGAGAGTTGCCCAAGTGCTTTTCTCCTTCAGGCGCCTCCTCGGTGGCGTGGCTGGGACGCGGCGCCGCCGGGGGCGGAGGGATGCTCCCCGGGCCCAACAGAGGGGTTTCGCAGTTACTGGCTGGCAATTTTTCTAATCGTCTTTTTTACCCTTTCTTTGTTTTCATAACAGAGCATCTTGAGGTCCTGGAGCTGTTTGTTCTTTGTAACTTTTAAAAATCCTGCTGTCAGGTACGACTCGATAGAAAATCCTCCTCTCTGTACTTCGGTAGTGCTGCTCAGGTGCGGTCACTCTGTGTGGGACCCTGACAAATGGGGGGCACTGGGCCCTGCCTGCGCCCCCCGGCCCCCTCTGGGCCCGAG